GCCCCCCCCCCTCCCACCTCCCATTTCCAAAGTACGAGTTTTACAACATGAAGTAAGTCCGGTCTGAGGCCAGGGGTCGTTATGAGCTACCACTAAACAGACGTCAATGACAGAGGTAATGGATCAATAAAACCATGATTCTCAGGAAGGGCTTGGATATTAGAGCAGGAAAGAGTAGATGAAAACGAGTTTGGAATTTGGAGTTGTTCGGTTTGGGGGGTGCTGTGGGTGTTGTTGTTTTTGTTGTTGTTGCGCTGTTGTTTTTGTTGGGGGTTTTGGTTTGTTCGGTTTGGGGGGTGGGGGGGGGGTTGGTTTGGTTTTTGGTTTTTCTTTTTTCTTTTCTTTTTTTACTTCGTTTCTTTTTTTGGAGGGGGGTTGTTGGGTGGTTGGAGGGGGGGTCTTGTTTCTTTTCTGTTCCTTCTCCGCATGGTTTTGATGACATGGTTGGGTCAACGTGACCTTGCACAGGGAAACTGAGAGTTCTGTTCTGCTCTAGATGTCAATGTGATGCCAATGTGATCGCGAACCTTCTTAAGGCTTGGTGTGAGTGTGTGACTACCTCTTTCCACGCTACAAATATTATTGTAACCATTAGTTTAATGCCTTATCGCCACGATTTAGGTCATAAATTAGGAGATAGCTAGCTTCCACTGCCTCTCAAGGAGCCAATCTGGGCTGAGGGGGGATACAGCAGACAGATGGAGATACTGGATAAATAGCCTCCTCACACGGGAATCGAACTCTTGCCTGCAACGTGCAACGCGAAACGCGTAACCTCTACACCACAGAACCTGGCCAGGAGGATTTCGTGGTCTAGAAGATAAGGGGTTCACCTCTCATCCAAAGGTCCAGGGTTCGAATCCGGGTAGCGACCGAAAAAAAAAAATCTTCACTAAAATTGTCTCCTTTCATCTCTGTTCCTGCTCTCTAATAATGTTCTGTCGTGATTTCGTCTCTGTTTTCTGCCTTCACTCCTGGGCTCCTGACTCTTTCTAAAGACTTTCTACCGCTTCTCCTTGGCTCCTTCTTACTGCTGTCTTTCAGCCACACCCCTGATCTTCTGGTAGGAAAGATC